GAAAGACTAAAACAATGCAACAACTTCAGTTGTTCAACTAGACAATAATAAAGGGTATAGTTTAAAAAAATAATTCTATTTCCTTACCACCACCATGGGCTCCTAAGAATTGCTACGCATCAGGCAAGCACAAAGTGCTGTAATTTGTGTTTAAGAAGAGCAGGTGCAGCACAACAGTCTTTATGGCCCACCACCTTGGCTTTCCTGCTTAAATATGGCTAAAATCCAGAGCGCCCATGTAAGGAGGCACCAGTCACAAAAGAAACCATGGCCTTCAAAATGCAACAGGTTTCACTTTCTCCAGTGTTTTTCTTCCACACGCTTGTCCTAAATCCCATGCTGCAGGACACGGGCTTTTCAGATGTCTTCAGGCAAAACAAAGTAGTCCTCTAATTACTGGTACCCTGGTGCCTTTTACAGTCCTGCCTCCAGGAACGCTGCTTCAATCGCTCAGAGAATTCCCAGCATTTGCAAGGATGAAACCTTCATCACAGCTCGTAACTGGCTACACAACCCTCACCTGAGCTACATCCAAAGGAAAGTGTTTGAAAAGGAGGATTCTTACTCAGTTGCAGATGATGGAGGGAGTGGCTTTAGTCTGGTGTGGGACAGAAGGGTGCTGTAGAGCCAAGCCAAACGGCAGGAATACTTAGTCTGGTTTCAAAATTCATACAGCACCTTTCCTTGTCTGAAGAAACGAAGGTATCCCCGCACAGGAGTTCACAGGTGGTCATCTCCATTAGGACAGTGATCTATCTCAGCAGCTCCCAAAGAGCCCCCTAACATCCTCAAGACAAGCCGATGCTTTTACAGCAGCAGAGAAAAACACATTCTGTGACAGAACGCACTTAGTCTTGAATCGGAGGCCTATGGATTGGCGTAAATACAGGTGCCCAAATCAGTTTGTAAATGAACGGCAGTGATGTGGGAGAAGCTGCAGAATGAAACAAAAAGCAAAAAAGCCTTTTGTGATAAAAGGTAAAACTAAGATACACTAAACATATTAAGAAAGAACTAATCTCAACCAGAGTTAGTCGAAACCTGGCTGTCTCACCCCCTTCTGTTCAGTACTCAGGCCTTCACAGGGGGCACCGCTCCCATCCCTAACAAGCCTTCTTCGGTATTTTCCAACGGACTATTGGCAGAATAGCTGTAGAGCACCTGCCACCCAGCAGAAGGGAAACACTCATCCCCTCCACACCCCAGCTGCACCTCTACATCCTGGGACCAGCCCATTCCTCAGCGACAGCAGCCACCACCACCAGTGAAACTCCAGCATAAGCAAATGAAACACATGACGACACCGCTGTCCTGGCTCTCCTGCCAGGACAGCCTGTCAGGCAGTCACTCTTCCAGGAGACAGTCACCTGGCGGCACCCCAAGCTGAACGAGGCAGAGGCTGAGTCTAGGACAACTCAGCATGCCGCTCACAGTCCGTACCTTGTCTGTTGGAAAGAGCTGGGGATGGAATAACTGTTTTCAGAAAACTGGCTTTTGTACAGCTACATCTTCCTACGTGGATTGCAATAGGACTAAGACTGAGTTCCTGGTGACCTAGTTTTTGCATCTCCCAAATACGAAACATTTACACAGACGAAATCTATTAAAATCAACTAATTTCTTCTCTTTAACCATAATAAAATTAAAAAAACTAGAATCTTAATACTGTACCTGGGTCTAATCTCACCACCACCAGGTAAAGCAGAAAAGTAGCCAAGAGCATCTTTTTGTAAGGAAGTAAACAGAAGTGACTTGACATGGACCTCAGTGCTCTACGCAGCAACGTCAGCATGGTCAAGAGCTTTTGGGACAGAGCACCTAGAATACAAGAACAGAAAGGCTGTTGGGGCAAAGTACAAAAAAGTAATGGCATACGTACAGATAATAAGAAACGAAGATACTAAAGTAAGACTGTTCTTAGTTTGCATGGGGGCTGGGGTTGGTTTTTTTATAATAGGGAACAGAGAAACAGTAAAATTTTGTAACACCATTAATTATCCCTTTTCTTTTTTAAGGCATTTACTTTAGTGTAACATGATCTTATACCACAGCAGTGCCAGCTTCTCTCCTGGTGGATAATGTCACGTGATTTACAGCTCTGGAGGACCAGCAGTACTTTAAATGCCAGACATGCATTATTCTACATGGGCTCGACTGTGAACAGAGATGAAGCAGAGAGTACAAAAAGCCAACATAGCATACCCTTAAAGGATTGCTGGGTAGTTTTATTTTCCTATCGTACCTTTTTTTTAAAAAAAAAATACATGTATTCTTAATTGCTTTTGAACCTGGAAAGTAAGAATTGTCTCTTGACATTGGTGGCGACTTTGTAGTTGTCGGCAAATGGATCCCTAAGTCCTGTGACACACAGCAGAACTTCTTCGTGGCTGTGATCCACAACAGGACTTCCTCCTGGCTGTTTGTCGTGCCAGTACTCTTCATAGACAGTTAACACCTACTACCCTTAGTTAGTAAGGGACCAACTAACTTGAAATAAAACTATAAAAAAGGACAGAAGCACAAACAACAGCGGGAAAGCCTACCCAAAACACTTTCCGTTGCTGCGTCCTGCTGCTCTTCAGCAGCCGAGTGCTGCTCTTCCCGCTGAGTCCACTGACATCGGCTTTCACAAATGGTCCCCAGAAACGCTACCTGCTGCTCACTGTCAACGACATCGCAGCCGCGTACAAGCTCTTCTGCCCCCTCAAAGCGGCCAAGCGGAAGCAAGACGTGCAGCAGGTAGAGCTCCAGCAACGAACCGTACTCGGGAAGGTCCTTATTGGTTTGGTCTCGCAGCCAGCTGCTGCCAACCTCCAGCATCACCTGGGGCTCTCGCACCTTGCTGTACAGCAGGAGGCTGAAATGCAAGGCAGGAGGGTTAGAAAACACTAACTCGCTGTAAAAGTTGACACCACCGACAGTTACTACCCACAAGCAGCTGTCACAGAGGCACGTGTCAGGGTCTGCGCTCGACATACAGACAGATTTCCGAGGCGGACAATCGGCGCAGGTATCAGCCCCGACGTGAGCCCTGCGCGTATCGGACAGCCGCAGAGAGAGACTCACCACAGCTCCAGAACTTTCGGCGGCAGATGCTCAGGGACGTGATAATACTGTAGCACCCAGGACAAAACTTCTCTCCACCGGTTCATCTCGGCCAGCGCCTGGATGCCCACAACGCAAAGGGCGCATTTCACCTCTGCGGAGCTGGTAAGGAGGAGACGAGACCCCTCAGTAAGTGCCCCCCGTTGGTCCTGCCACTCGCACCGAGAACACACGCAGCCCGAAGGGGCTCCTAACCCGCTCCAAAGTGCCGGTGTCGACCCCCAAAGCCTCAGTGGGAGAGGACAAGGCGCAGGCGGCGGGCCTGCTGTCTGTCAGCCGGGCGCTGACCCGGCACC